AAGAAAAACAAGAAGAAGAACAAGAAGAAGGTCAAGGTCTGGGCGGGTTCCATCTTGCCAAAGAAGCCCAAAGGCCACAGCAAAAAGTCAAAATCCGATGTTGTGCGCCCCCTCACTCCTCCGGCATCAACCGCCTCACCTAATGACGAGGAAGATTTCCTCATGGAGGACCCTGAACTTTTAGAACCAACCATGCCAACAGTCACAGTTACGGCGTCTCCTGACTTGCCCGAGGATAAATCCTTTGGAAAGCGCTCGCATGAGGAATCATCATACCCCATGATTGACCTGGATGCTGCGCTCGGCCCCTTCAACACTCCGCTACCTCTTAACCTTGAGTGGGAGGCTGCTCAGCGGGCGGCCGGTAACGTCGGCAAACGACGGCTTCACAGCGCCCAGGGCATGAAGGGATTCAGTGGTCCGGGTATGCACTACCACCGTCGCGCTGAATCTGCCCCGGATCTGCCTCCTTTCGACCCTGGAAGGTCGAGCATCCACCGGTTCAATAGCAGCTCTACCATGGCTGACGTGTTTGAGGAGGACGAAGAAGATGACCACAAAAATGCGAAGTCAAAGAACCGGGTCCCGCAATCTGACAGCGAAACCGATTCAGATAGCGATGCAACTCCACCCGCTGCGTTCACCAAAGATCCTCTGCTTGATGTCCAGGACCAGATGTCAACTCATAGCTCTGCTCAGAGCATGAGGCGGACCAACTCGAGCCTGAGTGATAAGGAACAATCGATAGTCGGATCAGTTCGAGCTGAACGCTCCAGATCTTCATTGCACGACAGTGTGATTGCTGAAGAGATGCCGAGCGTCATCTTCAGAAACCCCAACGTGTTCATGGATCGGGCCGACACATCAGAGTCAGCCACGCCCTCGCTTCGCAGACTCTCAGGCAACAAAGACCTCGCTCCCGTGGATATTGGGCCCATTCATCTCCCTGCACCAGCCAACGTCCCAAACAGCCCGTACGCAATCAGCCACTCATCCTCATTCCCATCACCCAGGTCGCCCATGTCAGTAGAGGTCCAGCGCATCTCCACGGCGCCCTCGTCCGTTACAGATGACAACAACTTCCAGTCGTTGCTCCTCATGGGCGAGCCTGGACCCGAGGTCCGAATGTCAGTGGACTATGATATCCCCTCGCTGACGTCAAGCAACTCGACCATGACCAGGGACAGCATGTTTATCCCGGGCCAGCGCATGAGCCAACCCACTATGCGTGAGCTGCGACCAGTTTCAGTTTCGTCCACAGCCTTTGGACGACGACGATCCAGTCTCGCCAGCCTCAGCCGACTCATTAGCAGCTCGCATGGTGAGCGTAGCAAGCTCTCGATGGAAGTGACGTTGGACAGCGAGCCCAACTCCAAGAAGTCCAAGAGCAGCCGTGCAAAGCGACTGAGCCGCATGGTGCAGTTTTGGAAGCCTCATCATAAGGAGAGCGCATCAAGCTAATGAGCAGTGCCACGGAGTCTCGGAGCACAAGTACACAACACAGTAGGCATTGGTTGTTTTCCAAGACCATGTCATTACGATTGTATATGGATATTATGTACATCAGATTTTTCACATTTCCGGTCGCGAAAGATCTAGCCCTGCCGATGTCCTCTTGCACGTCGGTGGTAGGCCTAGACTGGAGCGTACCAACCTTGTCTGAGGGTGCGTGGCAGCCAGATTTGCACCACGCCACGACGAAAGGTTCTATTACTCAGTAAAGGCACAAGGCGCAGCGTTTTTTAATGATAGCATGAACAGCATTTGGTACTTGGCACGAGCGGGCCCTGGCTCCCTGGTCAGTAAGTAGCACTGGTCTACGGTTGAGTCGGGGCTTGCGGGCAGGGAGAAGTTGGTCTCTCTGGACACAGGGCAAGAGGGGTGGAGATTGGATGATAAGCCCTTGTTGGTGGTTGTTTTGGGGATGGCCGGGTAGAGTAGATTAGGCACTTGAATGGCAAGGGTGGTTGATACAGAACTATTAATGAACATCTTGCTGAAACGAGGCTCGCGTCCACACACATATTGTGGGTGTTTAGTGTCATGTTTCATGTTGATAGGAGTTGAGCATTTCGCAATATAATTCATCAATCATCAATTTTGTGCAGATTCTAATTATCTACCTGATATCTCTGTCATCGTGTGAAACCAAGAAGAAAATATGTCTGTTGGTTAGGTAAGCAAGAGGTTCAGCGAGGGCTACGTGCGAAGGAAGCCCAAGGTGAAAGAAACAACTAAGGGAACAACGATGCCATCCATAACGCCCGCACACTTTCCAATCATGTCTTGTCCCTCATAGACCGAGGTCTTTTGCTTGTCTCACACACACCGGCTGTGGTTTGTAATTCTTTACATGAACTTCTTGGCCATGCCGGCCAAGCCACCACCGCCCCAGCTGTTATCGCTGCCGCCGCCGAAACCGAAACCAGCGTCGCGGCTGCTAGAGGAGGAGCCGCCTCCGAAGCCGCCGGAAGCCATGCGGACCGCGTCGCCGACGAGGCCGGCGGAGTTGCCTGATGCGGCCTTGGAGGCGGTGCTCATCATGCGCTCGATGGCTGGCGGGATGCGCAGGCCGAAGCGGGCGAGCAGGGCGGTCAAGAAGCCACCGGTGATGAGGGGCATGATGACCATGAAGAAGACCTTCCAGGGGTGGCGCTTGGCCCAATGGACCAGGTCGCGGAAGAGACGCTTCACTTGCTTAACCGACTTTTGGATGAAGCCCTGACGGGGGGATCGCTTGTAGTACGAGGAACGGTCTGTGGAGGGGTGCTTGTTAGCGGTTTGTCACAATTGAACGGGTGTTACTTTGCTGTGTGAAGCTCGCGACGCCGTGTGTATGTTTGGGGAGGTGAGTCTTGGAGGGGGGAAACCTACTGGAACCAAAGAAGCTGGAGCGGCTATTGTTGCCTCCGAGGCCGAAGAAGGAACCGCGGGATGAGTTGTGCTTGTCGTACTTGTCGTGACGGTCCCCGCCGCCGCCGAATATGGAGCCGGAGATGGAGCGGCCGCTGCTGCGACGATTGCGGGAGCTGGACCGGGAGCGTGAACGGGACCCCGAGCGGCGCTTCTTGTGCTTCGACGACGACGACTTCTTGTGACGGGAGGAGCGGCCAGAGATGATGGAACCTCCGTCATTGAACGAGTCGAGGAAACCCATGATTGCGGTTTCTCCCTGAAATGAGAGGAGAGAGAGAGAGGGCGAAAGAGACCAGGTCGTCTCGGGTCGGCGTATGTGAATGAGACGAGGCTGGGGATGGCTGAGCTGAGAGCGACGGCTCGCTAAATCAATTGATAACGGCGAGTTGTGCGAATGCAAGCGCGCAGCTGATTATGCCGAATTCAACCCCCCTCGTTTGACTTCTCTCCCGTCCGTCTTTATCAGTGAGAGACAGAGAGGGAAGGAAGGATTCGATTGCAAGTAGGATGCAGTATGCAGGAAATAGCAGCTGCAAGTCAGTTCTCGGAGAAGCAAAGCACCAGCCGCACCAGCATTAGGCGATGGAGCCGCCCACGACCCTCACCGTAAATTCGAGTGGCTGGAGGTGTTCGTTCCATTTTCCCCTGCATCGAGCCAAGCCGACCGGGAGTAGCGCCAACTGCGCCTCGTACAGTGCTAGAACCGCTCGACCCTAAACTGTGCAGATCCTCCTTCCTCATGGCCAATGAAGGCATCACGGCATATCAGACCGCATCCACGAGTTCCACGGCAGCTGCACGGTCGAACGGCAGTTGTAGACGCGGGCAAAAGAAACGGCTTCTTCTCAAAGGACAAAAAGAATCGTCACCTGCAGGATTCGAACCTACGCGACCGAAGTCACAGCCTTAGCAGGGCTGCGCGTTAACCACTCCGCCAAAGTGACAGTTTTCGATACTTTGGGATGCTCGGAGGTAAGCTTATATATCCGTCAGCTCAGATGGCTTCGATGTAAATCAAATTTTCCTTGCAGCATCACATCAATTATAACTAGCTTCAGACCAGGAAACTACGTTAAGACTTAGTGGCCCGTTCATGTATGTTTTCTATTGTAGACGGAATGATACTACACGACGAACTAGCAAGAGACTCGTCTGTTGGAGTCTCAGTGCTCTGGCCCATCACAATATTCTAGTTCGCAAGATGAATACGTGAATTGCCTGCTCAGACCCCGAAACAATCAACAGCCATAACATATTCGCAACTTTGCCTTTCCGACTGCGATTGCGCCAGTTAAACCAGAGTTCTCAAGCCTGCGAAAGACACACCCATGAGTTGACTGACACTTGCGTTGCAATACTCTCGGACAAAACCCAAACAGTCGCTCACATATGGAAAGGAAACGGACGTACTTGACACACATCATTGAAACCGGGAGAGAACTGTCCAGCTCAATTCGTCATGTTTTAGGCACGTCGGCGTTACGACCCTATCCCCACTGTCTAAGTTTTGAAGTTTCCAACACACTCTAGTCTCCAGTGACTCCATCGCCCAGTTGAACTTACCCGCCTTTGAAGCGCGCAGCACACGCCCCATTAGCTGGGCAGCATGTGAAGTAATGGAGTGTGACTCAAGCGTTGATTCAAGTGCAGTGTTCTCAAAGTCTTCTCTATTGACATTCTCCTAGGCCCGTGATTCATCAAGCCCCTGTGTTGCGAGTTGTGTAAGACCGCGGCGACTACCGAGTTCAGTGGAAACAACACTAGCTGTCTTCCTCTCTCTCACTTAGACTGTGGGGCAGGGGGAACAAGTGGTGCTAGCTAACATGCTGGACAATTGACAACGTATGTGCCCGGACCAAGAAACGCATACACCAAAATGATGGCAAGACGGGCAAAAAGAAATCGTCACCTGCAGGATTCGAACCTACGCGACCGAAGTCACAGCCTTGAGATGCAGCATAGCAGGGCTGCGCGTTAACCACTCCGCCAAAGTGACTGGTGTTATAAGAGGTAGAGAGTTCGTGGGTTATATGAATGAGGGGGCAGCCTGGAAAGAACAAGAGGGAGAAGAGGCAAAAAGCAACCGTCACCTGCAGGATTCGAACCTACGCGACCGAAGTCACAGCCTTGAGATGCCATGATAGCAGGGCTGCGCGTTAACCACTCCGCCAAAGTGACTGATGATGCAAGAGGGCTGAATATAAAGGCCCAAGGACACGGTGGCAAGTGAATGGGCTGAAGTGCAAAAAGAACCGGCAAAAAATCGTCACCTGCAGGATTCGAACCTACGCGACCGAAGTCACAGCCTTGTATGCAGCTTAGCAGGGCTGCGCGTTAACCACTCCGCCAAAGTGACTAGTGAATGTGGAATGTCGGGCAAATATTGAGGCAGATATCGATACTGCCATGGGTAATGCTTAGTGCTCATGTCACCTGGCAATTGTTGAATCCCATCGATTGACATTGGTTCGCTTCTATGTAAACGATCGTTAAGTGGGAAATCCCGTACTCTGCATAATCAGGATTGCTATTGCGGGACACTCGGCGGATATTGTGATTCGGCGCTCTCTTACACGCTACACGGGACGGAATGATTGCTTGAGATGTGAGAAACTCTGCAACACCCCGCACCACATTACGACCAAGTCCATGGAAAAGAAAAACTATCAATCCCCTTGGTGACTGCTACATATCATACTCAGAAATGGAGTTAACGAAAGACAAGTTAGAAAGGATTGGTTGGCATGGGCCCGACTATGAATACAGAGGTCTCGGTTAGGTCACCCATGAAGGACCCACCGGAACTGGTGGCGCGCAGCTTAGACGTCGCGAACGTCTTAGTCGATCTGTTACTAGAACCCACGGCAAGCAACTGTAGCGTTTCTGAACCTGGCACTGGTGTTGACTGGGTTGTAGAAACGACGGCAGTGGCTGTTGTGATGCCAGGACGACAGAACCCGCAACAGATCATTGTCAACTCCAGGGGAGGCGGCTGGCCATCCGGTCATATCAAGGAGTGGCACGATTTCCGTGACAGTGCCTTGTACCCTCGACCCGAGCATGAGAACGTCACTATCCCTGCAATTTCGCACAAGTAAGTGACATATGAAAAAGGTGACTCACTGACCAGCAAGCAGTCAGCGTCACAAACGAGGTTGTTGGTCGTGTGAGCCGCAAAGCCCACGCCCCCACACACAAACACCGGGGCTCAATCTCCGCCAAGGGCTAGGGCATTGTGCGCCCATTGATAACAGAGCTTTGGCAACAGAAAGCCCATGCAACAAAGCAATTTGGCGCAGTGGAAGCGCGGTATGTCTACAGTTCAAGTCCTTGAATCATCGATTCAAAATCTAACTTATCCCAGCCGGGCTCATAACCCGGAGGTCGCACGATCGAAACGTGCAATTGCTAAGCACTACACCTCATTGAGGTGCTCCCCTTTTGCTTCCTTCTTCACCAGAGATGGCCAAACGGAGAATATACACTGCTGTATTTTTTGGCAGACGAAGTCTCGAACGAGGGGGATGCGCATGATTTAAGAGAGGATATCGTGCTTAGTCGGTAGTCTGATAACTCACCAATGCGTTATCCGGATGTCAGGCCTTGTCGCAATAGTTACACGGCTGTCACTCTTCCAGTAAAGAGAAAGTTGCTCAATGCTTGTGTCAAAGAGAGTTTTAATCCACAGAATTCTGGATACTTCATTTATCCACAGTCAAGTGGTAGTTGTACACACTCGTAGAGGCCATGCATTGCCCTCAGTCAGTGGTGATGCCTGGAGGATAGTTAATAAAGCCAACCGTCGATAACCGAAACCACGTTGTACCACCTGCGACTTCCAACCCGGGCTCCCAGAACAATCCGTATTCGAGATGTAAGTACGCGAAGTTGTGATGATTGCATGAAAGCTGTAGCATCTGAAAAATGGCAGAATGCAAGAATGCCAATATTTGATCGTGCCCCTGGTCCATGTCTAAACTTCGAGGTTCACCCCCACCTACCAAACATGCCCCTCCATCATTTTGCCCCTCCAAACCACGAGGAGGCCAATATTCGAACACCAACCCCAACAGCCCTAAAGCAATTTGGCGCAGTGGAAGCGCGGTATGTTACTAGAATCAGCATGAAGATATTTGAACGCATCACTAACTCATCCAAGCCGGGCTCATAACCCGGAGGTCGCACGATCGAAACGTGCAATTGCTAAGCATCTCATGTTCTTAGGAACACATTTTTTATTTTTTTTGCATTCGACATTCTTAGGATTTCACACTTCCAAAACGTTCTCTTCTTCGGCCGAGCAAGTACGCAATGGCAGGAGCAGGCGGGCTCTACTGGTGTTGCATGTCTGGATGCTAAAGATGACTCACTCATTTTTTTATCATACGAGGTCACCGTTGAGTGACTCGGCAGTTGAGCAACGGTTGATATCGGGAACGCTTTAGTGTAGCCACCCACTTCACCCGCAAAAGGGAATAGAGAGGCAGGCGGGGGGCCACAAAAAAAAGAAATCCTCTGTCGAAGGAGATGCTTAGCAATTGCACGTTTCGATCGTGCGACCTCCGGGTTATGAGCCCGGCTTGGATGAGTTAGTGACACGTTCAGATATCTTTATGCTGATTCTAGTAACATACCGCGCTTCCACTGCGCCAAATTGCTTTAGTGTGTTGAGAAGCTTGGTCACTGATCACATTTATATTCCTCAGCAAGCATCTCGTCCCGATTACAACCCACGACGCACTCCGGTTGGCGTAGAAGGTGTTTGTATACCCTCTTACTCTCTTCTAGACCTAGATAGGCCGAATCCTAGCCTTTTATGTACTCGCTGGTGTTCTATTTAGTCATGTGTTGGCATTTGGGAATTTAGTCTTCTGCACTTACAAGCGCACCTAATCCCTAGTGTGATACTCGACCACGAGGTGCTACACGCTGGGCTATTCATTTGCCTTGGCTCAGCCTTTTTTTTTAATAGAAATAATTGGCTTTGCCTAGACCTCTTCACATGTCCATTAGTCCTCGTGGACAATTAGCGCACGGTTTGTTGTACCAATGAATGCCACCTGCGCCTGAGGTCTTCTTCCCAACACAGCCGTTGAGATGCTCATTCTTTCGTTGACCCGTTTCTATGCGTAGCCTAAACGCCGGGTTTCACTCTGTGGCGCGAGCCATCATAGCCTTGTATAAACATGTGGAAGAGGGGTTCCTTGGCGTCGTGGACAGTCCCCTTGATCTTCATCATGAAGTCCGATGTTGTTCGTAGCAAAATTTCCTTTGTCACGCCACACGATATGGCAATCTGATTCTCTGCTTTAGGTAAACTATTTATTATTATGTACGGTGGCTGATTTTATCCTCTCTACTCCAGTCCTTCTTAGAACTTGCTGTTCTTTACCAACATCTCGACGTACTCAGGAAACCAGACCCCAGCCGGCGGGGCTCTTGGATGTCCAGTGGCGATACCGTTTCCATCACTCTCGCCTGGGGGCTTGACCCAGACGATGCTGTCAACAAATGTATTGTTGACGGCAGTTCCGGGGCGCATCCCGAATTTGGCAGGGTAGACATTGGCAAATTCTTCCCACTTCTGTCTTGCTCCTGGTAGGTCAACGCGACTCTGGTCGACGATGAAATGTAATGGCAGCTTTGCATTCCGGAGGTGCGGAACAAGCGCATCTATGTAATGGGACTCGCCCCACGACCTTGAACCCTGAGTGTAGGGTTCGTCTCGGTCGGCGTTGAACGGGTTGAAGTTGGACACGTTCGTTGAGAACCCCCTGATTTTGACTGGTGTCGCTGTTTTGCCTTTCTTCCTTGCAGCTCCATCCGCAGCTTTCTGAGCCCTGCGCATGATCTGTGCTAGTTTCCTGGCAGCTGTAACGGATTAACAACAAGGACCTTCGGCGCTGGGGAAAAATGCTTACTTGGTTCAAGAGTCGCGTCCCATCCAAGCCATCCACCATTGGCTACATCAATGTAGAGCCTGACGTTGCGAAACTGCAGCGTCTTAATGGCATAAGCAGTGCCCCTTTCATAAAAAGGGGCAACATTTTGAACGAATGCTTGGTCTTTTGTGGTGATGAGATTTCCCATGACGTCTGGTTCCACAATGATGATAAAGTGCAAAGCGGTGGCCGCTCTAACCTTCCGAGCAAGAGGCCTGATATACCTGTTTTTGTATCCTCTCAAGCCTTCCTTGGTAGGTGGGAACTCCCCATGGCTCAAACCGCCGCTGAAGTCTTTGCCTGGTATGTCGTATACGACGAGCCCAATCATTTGCTTGACCTTTGTAGACTTCTGCTTGGCGAGAGCGGATTTGATGGCCTGGTCGAGGTCGGGCAGGTTATTCGTGTTGGAGATCCAGACGAAAGTGCTAATTCCCTGAAGAGTTCTGACCTTGGCTGCGTTCTTGTCATCTCCCCGCGACTTGAACGCATTGTATGTCGGTTCCAGCTTTTCGGCCCAGCGAGGGTTGACAAAGATATTTTCGCCCTTCCATGGGTACTTCGGAGCAGCAGCAGGAGCAGGAGCAGCAGCAAATTGAGCTGCGTTGAGGTGATCTTTAGCGTCCATGCTACCTTCAGTGCCAAAGCCTTCGTCATCCGTGGTCACGTCGTCATCCGTGGTTGCTTCGTCGTCCGCGGTTGCTTCTGCGCTCACGCTTGGCTGGCCGTCCATTATTTTCTCAGCGGCAAAAGGCGCCCCGGTGTCCATTGTGGCTTCAGCGTCAATGATTGGCTTGATATCAGTGATTGGTTTGAAGTCCATGACTGGCTTGGCGTCCATGATTGATTTGGAGGGTTTGTGATGAAAGTGTTGGCTGCGCAAAGAGGGGTTGGTTATTGAAGATGAGAGCGACAATCCCTCTTCGGAGGATGGGTACGATTCTTATAGTTGGGGAGACATTAGCTACCGGTACGCTTGCCAAAGACAAGAAAGCGACAAATTACTCACCATTGTGGATATGGGATGGGTGGCGGTGTTGAGCTGTCACCAACAGCGCCTGGATACAGAGCAACAAGCCCAACCAGGCTGAGACCAAACGCCTCATGTTGACAAATGTGATCCAGAATAGACATTTGTTTAGCTGTCTCCGGGTTGCCACATTTTTCAGCTCACGTTATCGAGGGTAGCATTTCGGTTTGTGGCAGTGGTCACCAGGACGGATAGGCGATCCTGGTGACCTTGATGCACTGCATTGGACAAGAGTTTATTGTACCCGCACCTTAATGGCTATCTATTGTCTTAGTGAGCCCCTTTTTCCTTTTAGACGCGGCAGCTGTTTGCTTGGCAACGCCTCATTCTAGCTCGTTATCATTAGCCCCGTTAAACCGGGCTCCCGTTTCGAATTCCCGAGACTCAAGTTGGTGGGAGCTGAGAAACTGGATTCACGCTAGTGGTCTAGATTTGCGCCAGCAACAGACCTTTTAAGCAATCAGAGCTTTCAAGAGGCTCAAATCTAGTTGCCAAGAGTCTCAGTCGATGATCGGGTGGGTGGATTCATGATAGATCACATCACAGACGAGGCTGACTTGGGGGTAATGCAAGGGGGTTGATGGATCACGCTGGAACAATCACATGTATCAAGGCTGAGGCTGCATTGGCATTTTAGGGTTTCAATAGCTCCGATGGAGTTTTGCTTTGGCGGATGATGCTTCTTAATTACACTGCTGTGTAGTATTAATGATGAAAATGAGTTGGTAAACCGGTATTCGCAGTTCGTGCAAGATCCATTGAAGTTCACTTTTCTTGTTTGATGCAACGCCACGCCACGCCACGCCCATGAATGCCCTCTTTTTCGAGAAAAAAAAAAGGCAGGATAGGAGGGGGCCTGGATCGTGTCCTTGAGTTTGGAGAGACGAATCGCTTTGATGTCTCGGGTTTTGGCTGTGTTTGAAACTGCTGGGAAGAAGTGAGGTATTCTGCTGGCTGTTTGTTCGGGTGGCTGAGCCCGTTTGTGGCTGGTCAATCAAGCTCCAGGGTAGCTCCCCACAAAACGAAATCCCCACGTTGTCCTTCTTCAGATTGGGTCCCCCAACCTGAAAGGTGCATGTACCCAACACGGTAAACCCCTGGCATTAACGCATAAAAGGCTGATAATTTAGTACAACGCAAGGGGTCTTTCAAAGTGGCCACGACATTCAGGTCGCAAATCCGTCCTTTTTTCTTCCCCCAACCCTGCCAGGCGCGGATCGACATTTTCTTGCTCTTCTCCCTTCTCGCATTGCATTGGCCCTTTTTGCATTGGACCATTGCTTTGCACTTGAGGATCTCTGGTCTTTGGTTATACCGGTCTGGACGCTTCTCTTGTCGCTGCCGTCGCAAGATCTAGCATCCAAGCATTCAGTTACCAGCTACCAGCTACCAGCTACCAGCTACCAGCTACCAGCTACCAACGCCCTCGTTCAGAACCAACTTCTTGTGGCGTTCGACATAGGATGCGAAGATGAAGTTCTCGTACCTTTCCGTTGGGCTCCTCGCCCTGCTGAGCCCCCTGGCGGCAGCATGGAGCAAAGAAGGTTCGTCGACGTCGCCACTACAACGGACGGCGGCGCATCGTCGCTCTCTTGACCACATCGCTGACATAAGACCTGTTACCAGATCGCGAGATTTTCCGCATTCGAGATGAGATCATGGCTTTCGAGACGGACGCTACCACTACGTTCTACGACATCCTTGGCATCAAGACCTCCGCTACCCAGGATGACATTACCAAGGCGTACCGCCAGATGACGCGCTCCCTCCACCCTGACAAGGTCAAGCAGAAGCTCAAGGCTGATGCGAAGAAGACGGGCGTCAATGTCAAGCCTCCCACTCATGCCCAGATCAAGACAGCCGTCAAAAAGGCCAGCGAGGCCCAGGCCCGTCTCTCCCTCATTGTCAACATCCTGCGCGGTCCTGAGCGCGATCGCTACGACCATTTCCTCAACAATGGCTTCCCCCGCTGGAAGGGCACTGACTACTACTACAACCGATACCGCCCTGGCTTGGGAACGGTCATCACCGGCTTGTTCCTTGTTCTGGGAGGAGGCGTTCATTACCTGACCCTGTACATGAGCTGGAGGCGCCAGCAGGAGTTTGTCCAGCGCTACATCAAGTTTGCCAGGGACACTGCCTGGGGTGGAGGTCTCAACATGCCCGGTCTCGCCGCTGCTCCCGCTCCCGCTCCGCCCCCGGCCCCCGCTTCTGACGAGGACGAGGGTCCCCCTCAGCCCATGAACCGAAGACAGAGGAGAATGCAGGAGAAGGAGACCAAGCGCGAGGGCGCAAAGCCCGCCGGAAAGAAAGCCCGCAAGCCCGAGACCTCAAACAAGGATACTCCGATTTCCCCCGCTGCGCCTTCTGGTGCGCGGAAGAGGGTCGTTGCTGAGAATGGCAAGATCCTCGTCGTCGACTCCCTGGGTGATGTGTACCTCGAGGAGGAGGATGAAGAAGGCAACGTGAACGAATTCCTCCTTGACGTATGTTTCTGCCCTCTACAACATGTGACTGAAGTGCTAATGTGATGTGTAGCCCAACGAGCTGGCCAAGCCCACCATTGCCGACACCGCCGTTGTGCGCGCTCCCATTTGGCTTTTCAACTTGACTGCCGGTCGCCTGATCCCCAAGAAGCCTGCCAACCTCGAGATTGAGGTTCCTCTGGACGACGATGAGTCGGATGT